AGTAAGGAGATGCAAAGGCCTGGCGATAGTAGCGAAATTCGGAACAAACCTCCGATAATATGAGGCGAACCCCAAAAACCGACGCACATCACCCACCGTGGCCGGGGTTGCCCAATCCCGGACACAAGCAGTTTTCTCAGGATCCGTGGCCACCCCGTCCGCACTAACAATATGTCCCAAGTATCGAACGGAGCGTTGCAGTAAATGACATTTCTTAGGCTTGAATTTCAAATTAGCAGAACGCATTCTGGCGAATACAGCCTCCAACCGCAGTAAATGCTCATCAAATGTGCGGCTGAAGACTATAATATCATCTAAATAAATGAGACATGTCTCCCACTGCAACCCCGTCAATACCAACTCCATCAACCTCTGAAAAGTGGCAGGGGCAGCATTCAACCCCATCGGAAGACAGTTAAATTGGAATAACCCCTGCGGCGTACGGAAAGCTGTCTTTTCACGCGAGGGCTCGTCAAGGGGGAGCTGCCAGAAGCCCGAAGAGAGATCTAGCGTTGAAAAAAACTTAGCCCCTGACAAGGCGTCGAGAGAATCGTCCATACGCGGCAGGGGATACGCATCTGCCACCGACACTTTATTCAACTTCCGAAAATCCACACAAAATCGCAATTTACCATCCTTCTTTTTAACCAACACAACAGGCGCGCCCCATGGGCTATTAGACGGAGATATAATATCCGCTTTCAACATGTCTTCCACTGCCCCTCGAACATGCTCACGCTCAGCCGGACTCATCCGACGCGAGTTCAAACGGATAGGGGCAGCGTCCCCCGTGTCGATATGATGAGAGAGAAGCGAGGTGCGTCCCAAGTCCAAATCGTCCGAGCTAAACACATCGGAATAGCTCGATAATAATTTATGAATCGCACAACGCTGCTCGGTGGAAAGGGCCGAATTTTCCCCACATAATTCGGCGATCCAACGATCATCAACCCCTCCATCGTGTGAAACACCACCCACAAGCCCCCCGTCCGGCAGGTCACTCTGAGCCGTAAACGCCGTAGTGGCATGTGCCACAACGGTACCAGCCGGCACACACACGCTTTCAGCACTCGCATTTAACACCTGCAAAAACGGGCGCTGATCTGGACGGACAATAGTTTGCGCCCCTACCAGCTCCAAGCCGCCCGTAACCGCGGCGGACGGCGACAGCAAAATCCCAAAAGCACCCTGCCGACCCGGAACCGGCTTCCGGTATCGTAAGGGAATGAGCATCTGAGAGCCAGGTGGAATATCAACCGAAACTTCCGATAGCGCCTGCACCTGGGCGACAGGAGCCGGTCGCCCCCAGGCGGACTGTAAAAATTCCAATTTCCGGCCCCCCGGTAGTTCTATGCAATTTTCATTGATTCTAATTAGAATGGGCATCTTAGCCAAAAAATCCGTACCCAACAGGCAGGGAACCGCCAGGGACCTCGAAATCAACACAACGCCCGAGGCCGAGACACCCCCGATAGAAATGTTAGCGTCCACCTGTCCCACGATGCCCATACTACCCCCGTTCGCAGCGATGCAGGAAGCGTAAGCCGGCCTCACGGCCCCCGGTGGGATGTTCAAAAGATGGAATATCACATCCGAAATAATGGTCGCGGACGCACCGGAATCCACCAAAATACGTACGTCCACCCCTTGGATGGACCCAGGTACAGTGGACGAACCGGTAGCGGCCGCGACAACCCGCCGAGCCAGCTTACGCCACTGCGTTATCGAGCGACAAGGCTCAGATACTGGCCTCCCGTATTTTACAACATCCGCGTCGCATAACAACGGCGATGAGTGAGGTGTCAGGCCTTGCCGGGTGTCTGGTGCGCACCGACTTGCCTGTGCCGGAGGGTCTTTCTTTGGGGCGTCCGCTGTCGAGGCCTCCTGCTGGGGCGGCCCCGGAACCCGGGCCCAGCAGTCTCTGGCATAGTGGCCCCGACGGCCGCAGCGGAAGCAGTCGACGTCGGGGCGGCGCGCAGCGGGCACCCCGTCCCGACGCGGCCGCGCCGGCGGCGGAGCCCGCGGCCCTGGCCCGCTTCGAGCCGGCCACGGAGTGGAGGCGGCCGACAACTCCTTTGGGCCGGTCGCATCCGGCACGTACACAGCCTTCGTAGGGTCCCACCCTACGGCCCCCCCATCGACGACAGGACCGCCCGTCCACGCCGTCACCTGTTTCCAGCGGCGGAGATTGAACTGAGCGTCCAAACACTTGGCCGCGGTCCGGGACGTGAGTTTTTCGTGACCGCACGCCGGCATAGGAATGCCGAGATCTCGGGACAACTCCAACATCTTCCCCAAGATGAGTGGTTCCAGCAGGTCAGGCTCCGTCTCCGGGTAAGCGGCCATAGCGAGTTCCAACACGGCGCCCCTGTACGCTACAGGTGACTCCTCAGGTGCGCGTTGCCGCTGCACGAATCGGCGATGGGCGTCATCCGGTGGCTCGTACGCGTCCGCCATTTCCTCGAACACCCCTCGCAGAGTTTTCTTCTTCGCAGCTTTTATAGAGCGAAAAAAACGAACGGACTCATCATCAAGAAGAGTCGGGAGCACCTCCAGTGCCTCAGCATCTGTCCACCTTGCCGTACGTACCGCCGCCAAAAATCTGCAGGCGAACGCACTCCAATCGCCCCCGATGGAGAACTCTTTGACGGTTGTAAGGTGACGACTGCGACTCCTTGGCTTGCTTCCGTCCGTCGCTGACTCTTCCGGCGGTAAGTTCAGCAAGGCGTCGCAACGCTGTGTCGTCAAAATGGCGGACGATCCTCGCGGCGGCCCCAAAATGGCGGCTTCCCGCCTTCCGTGGTGCGCCACGCCCAAGATGGCGTCTTCACGCCGCGTGGCCGATGGCGGCGCCATCGAGGACGACCCGGGCTCCTGCCGATCACCCCCATCACCTTCCAACGCCGCCTTTGGCGTGACAAGGTCACACAACTCTGTGATGACGGTTTTTAGGGTTGCCAGTTGCTCCGCCATCCGGGTCCATCTTAAATCTTCGTCCTTCAACGCAGATGGGTCGGACGAAGGGGCCACCTCCTCGACGCCCGGGCCCCCACGGATCTCTCCCTCCGCCGAAGTGAAGCCGACCGCAGGAGGAAGATCGTCGTCGTCCGAAGATGAAGCCGACGCCGGGGATGGAATATTCTTTTTCCTCAGTTGTTTCGCCATGCCGTTTCACTTCTGACTCCAGTGTAATAAAAGGACTCGGACACTTCCTTCTGTCTTCGTGTCTTTTATTGGGTTCTCGTCTTCACCCACACGGCACTCTGTTATAACTCTGTATTTGTAGCCCCCGGCTATTCACTGCTATTATAGCTTCTTCTTCCCTCTGACTCTCTGCTTCATCTACTGTAACCTCCTCCTTGCAGACTCGCTGCTACCTCTATGCAGACTCCCGCTGCTACCCCTATGTGCAGACCCTCTGGCTGCTACCGTATGCAGACCCGCTGCTGACTCTGTATGCAGCCCCGCTGCTGACTCTCTGTGCAGCCCCGCTGCTGACTGCAGCCTCCTCGCTGCTTCGGGTCGGTCACCGCTGGCCAACGGTGCCGATCCTCGCTCCCCCGTGTTCGTGGCGATCTCGCCACCCTCCGCTTCGCCCTTCGTGGCCTCTCTCTGTTCCTGGTTCCCCGTCACTCCCCGTCCTCTTCCGGTTCCCCTCCTTCTATAGCCTAACCCCTCACCCCCCCCCACGTGACCTAACTCCTCCCCTCCTGACGTCACCTCCGGAGGGCCGTTTACGCCCGCATTACACCTGCAAGGACGTAATTAATATTTACAGGTTTTTTTTTCTGGGCAGAAAGTAGGTTTCTTCATCGGGAATATCAGGACATTTTACTCACCAGAGGGGGGGGGGGGCATTCGATCTACTCATCAGGGGAGGAAACCACATAAATTGGCATCGACAATTTCCCTTACTCTGTGGTCTGTGTCAGTAGGCGGATGGGGGGGGGCATGTGGGGGGGTACTTGCAATGTATAATCCCATTTCAGAAATTTGTTACCATGACGTCAGCACGTAATGGCCTACTCATGGGAAAAAGGTCACGTTACGCTGAACATCCGCTGTGGAGCAGACGGCACGTAGCGTTATATCTTTTGAAAACGGTTTTTACACTGGCAGTCTTACTCGGGGTGGCCGCCGGAATTGAACCACGAACTTCTGCAACAATCGGCGAGCGCGCTACCACGTGGCCACGTCTTAATGGCAAGCTGCACGTCGCAGTTAAAGCGTTGTCCACCTCGACCACTCGGATGTATTCCTGATGTACCTCTTTCCTGCGACGCCAAACAGCACCGCCCGATTACTATTTCTACTTTTTATTTTATTTTACCAGGTTAGGCTCAAAAAGGCAACTTGGAAATAGCATAAAACAACACCGTGTGAAGCTCTCCCAGCTGGGCAATATACGTTTAGTAATGCATTGATTAATAATTTCATTTTGACTATTAAGCTGAGCTTGATTAAAAATCAGAATAGGTTTTGCCCTTTCTGGCAATAAAGCAGGTGTTAAGATGTTCAAACACTAAACATACACATTTTTCTACATTAACCACACGAACTTGTGGTGAACATGCAAACAAACATGTTCTGATCATCTTTACGAAAGTTATCGTGGCCTCTTCTGTTGCGGGGAGACGGCACAGACAGACGTAGCTAACACATTAACGCTTGCAACTTTAATTGTAAAGTGCGAACAAAAAATCATCACCTTCTGCATTGTGACCCTGAATCGTGGTGGTGTTTGGGGAACGGCAGTATTCGAAGTTTCAAGTTGATTTTGCTTATCCAGGTGAGAGAACTCACGAGACCACGGTGAGTGACCTGGGGCATCAATCTACCGGTGAAGGGGGTGGGTGGTGGGGCGTCGATGATTGCTGCTGTTCTGTAATAATCCCAACTTAAGTTAAGTTGTGCGAATCGCTAACCCCCCCCCCCCCCCCCCCCCCCCGGAACTGAGCAATAAAGTCTGAAACGCAACGGGCGATTTGTCGTTGGCCAAGGACGAGCACAAGGCGGACACGCCGGTGTCGGACGACGACGCGAAGCAGGCGGTGAGCGTGCACCACGCCCTGGCCACGCGCGCCACCGACTACACCAAGCGGCCGCACGTGCTCAAGCTGAAGACGGCCGACTGGCGCGTCTTCCTCCTGCAGGCCCCGTGAGTGAGATCCCCTGCACGCGGCGGCCTCGTCGCCGTGCCGAGGCCGCCGGTGTGCGCTTGCTGTCTTGAGTTTCGAGGGCATGTATGGTTGAGCTTGTTTCGCGCCGTACTTAACCAACCGTGATAATCGGAGGCGCGGGTTTTGCTGCTCGAGTTCCCTCCATCCTGTCCGATCTTACGGCTGCCCCCTTAATTTTTCACCATTGCGCTCCTTCCGAGTCGTAAAGTCCGGTGCCTTTAGTTTTCAGCTTTTTCCCAGAATCCTTCCAGGATCCTTTGGCGAGCCCTCCCCTGTGACAGTGTGCCCCGTCCAGATTTTTTCCACCCCCGAATTTTTACTGTCGTTTGTTTCTCCGCTTGCCGCTGGTGAGTTACCCTTTGTGTCCTTTCAAAGCTAACCCCCATCTCAAGCCTCTCCAGTCTTCAAATGTATTACTTTCTCAGCTTCTGTCTCTGCTCATCATAACACCACATTCCAAATTAGAGTCTTTACAAGGCTGCTATTCAATTCCCGGCTTATTCATCATGTTTTTGCTAACATGCCACTTTTCCCACTGCAATCCTAGCTCCTTCAGACATCTATAATCAGGGTTTAGCTCTGCTTAATAAAACTGAGTCATCACAGCAAATGCTGTTGATACCACTACATCTTGCTATCACTTCCTTCCATCTGCACTTTTGTTTGGTAGCGCAGTGTGAGATGAAGTTTATTCTGCGAGGAAGAACCCTAGTGATATTTAGAATAAATATGTAGAACAGAGGTGCGGAATATAAAATTATACAAAAATAGAAATTATGCCAAGTAACAACGAAATCTAGCAACAAAATACCTGCAAATAATAAATAATTAATTCTTTTGGATTAACAAGATGTTCCAGTTCTCCTGTATAATGGAGGTAATTCATCTCTGTGGATTAAATTAAGGACTATGGATCAGACCAAGTATAACCTACTCTCCCCTCCAGAAGCCAAGTAATCTATCACCGACAACATATTGGCATCCAAGGGCAGTCTCGGACTGTTTGGTTGCTTGATCGTGGTGGTTCATGGGAGGTGGAAAACATTCATCAAGTCAAGTTTGATTGGTGTGCAGAGATTCAAGATACATGTGGAGGGCTCATGGGAGGGTTCGGGGGGGAGGGAGTTCAGTGGCCAACAGTCTCCACTGCAAGACACACAAACTGAGGTTCAGTAACCCGTACATCTCAGAGGCTCGTGCCATTGTGGTGCATGCACAGTCCCTTTGTTGACCCACTGCCGAACGAGGGCCTCCCCACGCCGTGCGGGTCGTGGGAGTCATTTGACCATACTCAAACCGGAGGACCAGGCGCGAAATCCACGCGACCATGTGGAGAGAGACATGCACATTCCAAATATGCAGGGGTTAAGGGTGGGATCGAACCCAGGACCTCCTGCGTACCAGGCGAGGTAGTTAACATCAGTCCACCGTGAAGCAACTGTGTCCTAAGTGGTACCGGTGGCATGTGTGTAACCTACCATAGAAAACAACTGGGTGGAAAGCAAATACGAGTGGTACCGTGATGTTGCCGTTGTGTGCATGCGTGTGCCCATGCGATCCGTTTCCTTGCGCTCGCAGGAACACCCAAGAGATGGAGTCGTGGATCACGCGCATAAATCTGGTGGCCACCCTCTTCTCGGCTCCGCCATTCCCTGCCGCCATCGGGTCCCAGAAGCGCTTCAGCCGACCGCTGCTGCCGGCCTCTGCCACCAAGCTGCCGCAGGTGAACTCACTCGGCCAATCGGCCTGGCCGCACGTGGCAACGCTTGCGCAGGGAAGCTTGGACTTGGTCCATCAGACTTTCTCTGTTGCGTGATTTTGTGAAGTCATCGGTTGCAGAGCGCGGACCCAAATGCCTTGCTGAGCTCGTCAAGGAGCATGAACCGTCACGCAAACTCTGGTCATCCTTGCTGCAGCAGCAGCAGCTTTTGGCTAAACATCTAACAATGACGGTCACCGCATCACGTGCTTTCTGATGTGCTTCTGCGGCCGTCTGGAACGCTCTTCCTTCCGATATTAGGAAGCCACTGGAGCTATGCACTTTTAAATCTAGATTGAAATCTCATTTCTATACAACTGCTTGTTGTGGTTAGTTTGTTGTCCATTCCCCGTACCTCTGATTAGCACGGTTGGCTACGTACGGTGAGAAAGAAGTTAATCATACATACATGACGCAAAGCTGTGCGCGGCAGTCATAATATTCCAATAATATGTAGACACTATGTCAATGAAAATTAGAATTCTTTTTCATTTTATTTTTAATTGATTCTTGGGTTTTTGGCCTAACCTGAAAAAAAATCTATAATTAATTATGATATTGGCTACACAAATCCTACCGTGTTAAATGCGTTAAGCATGATTAAATCTAGATTGAAAACTCATTTCATTAGAACTGCTTTTTCTGTTTCATTTCTTCTTCCTCCTCACCTCCGATGAGCACGATGCGCTTACGTACGCTGTGAAATAAGTTCAACATGCAGTACATACAACTATTTGATCAGATTCATGGAGGGTCATCGAGCAGTACCACAGGAACGCTTTTAAGCAACGTTCTTTTGGTGTGCCCCCCTCCTCATTACGGTTCCCTCTCCCGGCGGGAGGCACCCAGTACGTCGACTTACCTCGTTAACGCACGTCACCTCCAGGTGCGACAGTACTTTCGTTAGGGACACTGAATATCGACCGGCTCCGGGAACTGCGGAGCTCCTGTCAGTGCAGTTAATTTCCCTTAACACACGTGCCCCTGCGAACTGGTTGGCTTTGGTGGCTGCTGCTCGCTCTAATAATGGTTTATACGACGCGTGCCGCCTGCCACCGCCGCAAATCTGCCTGGTTGACATTGCGATCTTCTGCTGCTGCTGCTGCTGCTGCTGCCTTAATCAAGTCCCCAAGCCACATCCACTCTGCGCGGTCCCCACATGCGGTCAATAGCTTAACCCGAGACCCGCCCCTTGGTGCGTCAGCCTCCCTTTATTCGCCACTGCCCACCAAACCGTCAAACGTCTGTTGAATGCACACGAACACACGCGCACACTCACTCTCAAGTCCTGTCTGTAACCTTGACCTCCGAGTCCTGCTTTCCTAACAGTGATGAATGTGCCTCTTTGGAAAGGCGTGCGCGCTCGGGGTGACTCGGGGTGATGGGGAATGAAAGGGAAGGATGCGGTTAATTGGGCAGTCCAACTAATCTTTTCTCACACGTGTATGTCACGCGCGCTATTGTCAAAGCGTTCGACGGTGCGTTGTTTTATGGAGTGAGCCTTGGTGGAACTCTGTGCGTGCGTGGCTCTTTCAATCTTTCTCTCTTCCTCTCTCTCTCTCTCGGGCGTGCGTGCGCGCACACGGGATGCCAGGAGGAGCAGCTTCGCTCGCATGAGGACAAGCTTAAGGGCGTGACCTCTGACCTGGACCAGCATCGCTCCTACCCACCTGACCCGCGTCGCGTGCGTGCCAAGGAAGCCGATGACTACCGTCTCAAGCAGCACTACCTCGAGTTCGAGGTGACTCAGTCGATCACATTTGCATCTCACAGCAGCGGCAGCTTTTGGCTCGGCCATCGAACAAAGACGGTCGCCGCATCGCTCGCTTTCAGATAATCTTTCACGGTCGTCTGGAATGTTCTTCCTTCCAATATTAGTAAGCCACTGGAGTTGTGCACTTTTAAATAATCTCGATTGACTAAACTCATTTCTTCAGAACTGCTTTTTGTGTTTAGCTTGTTGTCCTTTGCCCGCACCTTCTGATTAGCACGGTTGGCTACGTACGGTGCGAAAGAAGTTCCACATACATCTCCACTGCTCTTCCCTCTTCCTTACCTCTCTCCCATCGCTACCTCCAATGCCACAGCATTGTTTCCTGCAGGAGTGGGGGATCTGTTTCCTTAATGAGGAAAGAATAGGACTCTCAAATACCTTTGGCTGGGGCCACTCATTAACATGAACCTTAGCCTTATACAAAATAATTAGGGTCGCCTTTACTGAGCGTGCTAAAATTAGAGAACGGTGCTACAAGATTAATCATATTTCACTCCAGTTCCCAATTAGTGCAGCTGAGATGCTTTTTGCAGTGATGGATAAATATTGTATTGCAGGCTGTGTTTACCAAGTGGTCTGCATCGTGTAGCCGCACGTCGTATGAAATAATGTAATGGGCCACATAGGGCCCAGAGCCCTTGCGTTTCCCACCCCTGATTTAACAAGATTCCAATGAACAAATTTTTGATGATTATAAGTGCCAATATTCAAAAGTTAGTCGGATGGAAGATCGATAGAATGGACAAAAACGTGTGCATGCTTCCGAAAATGTCACCTGCTCAGGAACAGAATGAGCATGTGTACATGCTGTACATATATTTATTTTATATATGCATTTAAGACACGGTGCATACGTTTCAGAGTCAAATAAGTTACACGTGATACAGTCTGTGCAAGCGTAGGCAGTTGTAATTGGGGGACAAGCTGTAAAAACAGTGCATTAATTAGAGTACACAAAGCCAGTCACCATCACCACTCTCTGCCATAGTTAATCCACTGCTGGATGAAGTCCTCACCAAACTGCTAACATCTCTGGCTACCCCACAATGTACACAAAGCCAGGAGTGGCCTCTGAAGGTGGACAATTCCATTGTGATCAAGCAGCAAGTTACTCTGCTTATTCAAATGCCGTTGAGTTATTTCTCCTCCTCCTCCTCGATGGGAACCCAGCGATTGCACATTCCTGCACAATTTACAGGACTGACCCGGGCTGACGTTGCTGTTATCTTTATTCTGCCTCCCGCACGTTTCGGGACATTGCAGAAGAGTAAACGCTTTGCTTGCATGTTCCGTGAGACGAATGCTCTTGCTGTTGCACGCACACATTTCGCTCGGGGTGGATTGCAGTTGCTCAGTATTGAATCCTTCGCAACCCGTAGCTGTGTCTGTCGCACCACGCGAGCATTGATGGGGTTAGGCTGCGGGGCAATTGATTTTTTTTTTGGAAGGTGGTGGCTTCCGTGTTGCATTCTCCGTTCAATCCATCCTCAGTTTTATATTAAACGGTGTGGGCTGGCTCTGTGGAGATTTAAATACATCTTGAGTGCATGGTAATTATACACGTACCAAATCGGCAATTGTATTATTTCTTGAATTTATTCTCTCGCAAATGGGATTGGAAAAGACGAGTTCATTTAGTTTCGGTAAATTACATAATTGTGCTAAATGTAAACTAGCATTGGCTTTGACATTTCACTGCCGAGTCTATGTTTCTGCTGGACCAGTCATTTTTGGAGTAAATTAACCATCGGCTGATTTGTGCTGAAAAGGGGACACGAGAAAACGTGACGTCGTTATCTAGAATTGGCTGTTGTGTTGCAAACGCCATCGCCCACTATTTGTTATGAATTTAATTCAAATAAGTTGCAGTAAAAGCACTCGCTACTATTCAGCTGTGTTCACACCAAGCTTTATTTTAATTAATCCCTCGACTGGTTAAACACTTCCATTGGTTGTCAACCAGATGCAGTCCTCTCCCACTCCAGCCTGAACCTAGTGGTGGGAATCCACTATTTTGGCTAATCGATGTTTAGGACAACCGCTGTTAACTTGACACAAACTGTTGCCTATTTTGTCAATCTCGGAGAGATGATGGGCTGAGTTGACCCCTGACCCGAGATTTAAACTCACCAACTTCTCACTGTGAGACTCACACTCTGACCACATCGTCACCCAGCCAGATAAACTAGATAAACAAGAACAATTAAACTTAATATATTAACGCGTTCAATGTTCAGTGACAAAGCGGCAGTGAGTAAACTATACACACGCGCGCGTGGTGCCTCTGACCACCCAGAAATATATTTTGTTAAATCACAGTTAGTCCATCGGCCGGCCGCGTACGGTAGGGTAGAGTGTGGGTACCCCCGCCTCTTCCCAGTACCCTCGACCTTCCTCGAGTGGAGTCCCCTTTCGCGAGCAGCGGCACGAGCAAGACATTTCAGGGCTGCACCTTTACCTCTGAATTTATTTAAAATAAGCACAGCATGAGATAGTGCAGTGAAATGGCAGCAGTGAGATGAATATACATTTGTATTTTGCATCGTGTGTTTGTGCGTAAGAATCGGAATTGTATTTCCCCTGTAAAGCCAGTAGAGCTAATAAGCTCTTTTGTCGAAGGCTGACTCGGCCGGCAGACAACATCAAAGCATTGCGCAATTACAGATATTAAAAAAAACAAGCCAACTTAATAATAGAAATTGTGTTGTCAAATTACATTCACATTTAAACCTTGGTGATTTTAATAGTCAGATTAAATGAGGACAGAGATGACAGAATGGCGATTGGAAGAGACGATACTGAGTGTTTCCAATACTTTGAGGCAGCAGCTACATTCAATGCTTTTGATGCAAATTGTGTGCTGATATCCATAGCTGTCAACCCATACGGTTTAACCAGTATTCTTGTTCAGGGAAATTGAGTTTTCAGGTCCATACGGCATACAGCCGTTTCAATACGGGCAAAAAAAATAAGGTTGGTCGATTTGTTTGTGTTTTTCCCTTGTGATGGGATTTTGAAGGATGAACGTTGAGATTTATAAGGGCACGGGGTGACCAATAACGTCTGAATTTGTCTGTAATAAGGTAGGCACCACGTCGCAGATTGTTATGCAGTAATGCCCCACGGTTTATGTCGGAGGATGCATTTCTGGGAGGTGCAACGATGAACATCAAAACGACGTCAATCAAAGAAGCAACGTACAGGGTAGTGCTAGTGGGTGGTGGAGGCAAAGGCTGAGAGACAACGGATGATGAGAAAAGGACGTACGATGCTGTCAACGACGTCAGGATCAGAATTCTCTATTTAGACTGCGGGAGTAATCCAGTGGGCTGTGAAGCTCTTTTTATCACAGTACGTCCAGTATGGGCGGGTGGTCAGCAAGTCACAACAACAAACAACGAAACGATCGAAGCGCCAAATAGTCAAGTCACGAAATGTAAACAAATGATACTTTCTTTCAAGTCCGGGTTATTGCCAGTGCAGTAACAAAGTGACGACGTGTTTGCGACAAACGACGTAAAAGGGCCAGACGTAAATATTACCGTGCGACACTCAAACTCGCGACTGTACCCGCGACCGCTCTCTGCCGCAGAAAACGCGCTACGGCACCTACGTGACTCTGCTGCGCGCGAAGATGAAGCTGGGCACGGACGACCTCGACTCGCTGGAGGCGGCCGTGGGGTCTCCCTCGTGCCCCGCCGGCGCCCCGGACGGCGAGGGCACCGCCATGCGGAAGGCGCGATCCAGCCCGACGCTGGCGCACGCCGCCGCGGGCGCCAACTCCGAGCCGGAGCTGACGGGGGCTCGCGTCCGTCGCAATGTGTCCGATTTGCAGGAGCAGAATCGGCCGTAGGGCCCCCCAATCCCCCGCACCACCCCCCCCCTCCACCGGGGCTGCATCTGCATCCCCTGCTGCAGGTGCAGGCGACGTGGCGGTGTGTTTTTGCGTCAAGTAGGGTGCTCATCTTGCTGACGGGGCGCGAGTATCGCGGTGGTAGCCTTGCAGGCGTGAAGGTAGAATCGCGGTTCCGCGTCTGGTTGGGCTCGCCGCGGATCGCTTAACGCAACGCTTAAGCCTCGCTTACGTCACGTGGCGGGGGCGCGTTAAGTTAATCCCGCTGCCGCGTATCTCCGAGGTTTAACTTCGGGACGTTAAGTGAACGTTACGCGAGCCGGCGGACAGTCGGTGGGGCAGAGGGGGGCGGAGCCCCGAGTTGCTGCGACACTTTTTATTGACCTAGTCGCCAACGCGCGACGTGCCACACCGCACCGCGTCGTCCCAATGTTGGCGCGTGCCGGCACGTTGGGACCACGCGGCCCCGGCGTGAACCCCGCCGTTCATGGTGTATTATCTTAGTCAGGGTTGCCCTGCACAAAAACCGGGGGCAGTGTGTCTCGCCGTGCCCTGACCAGGTTAATATAGGTGATCCAATCGATTGACGGCGTTGTTAGTGCCTGCAGTGTTTTAAAGGACCTCCAATCAGCAAGATGGCATCTAAATTCGCAAGCCGCGCGTTGTCCCGTCTACTCCTGCAATGATGGCTCCTATGTTTCTCCTTCCTCACGTCCACAGCATCCGGCCCAGTCCATCCTTCCCCTTTCGCCCTGCCCCAGCCCATCCACTCAAAAGCATCTGTGGCTGCCGTCACCGCGTCGTTTGAGGTCTAGTCCGTAGCGCTCTATTACACGCGTATTAAGCCCCCGAGTAAAACGTCGCGTGGGGCTCGTGTGCGCCGTGCTGTGCCGTAAACTGTGCCGTACGTTGGGTGACAGTGCCAATAACATCCTTAACATTGCAGCCTATAGGGTGCATCGTGTAATGTGTTTTGCCGTAGGCTCGCACGAGTGTGCAGGTAAAACCCGCTGTGTTGGCTTCGCGTGCGTGTGTACGTGCGTACGCGTGTGTGCGATTCGCATTTCTAATCGTGAAAGCGATGGGTCGTAGGAGATGCCATCGCTCCCAATTGCTCACCCCGTGTTGGCTTTTCTGTTTAGAATACAAATAGGTTGTGGGATTCTGGTGAGTATCGTACACAGCCGTTACCACCATCCTCGCGCACGCGTGCACACACACGTGTGTGTGTTCACGTGTGTGTTCACGTGGGTGTTCACGTGGGTGTACGCCGTGAGGGTGCGTGCGTAGGTTAGCGAGTGGGATGAAGGACGGCGTAGTTTGTGCGGCGCCGTTGGGCGCGGTTGTGAAACGGGTACACTTTGTGTATCTTTTCTCCACTGAAAACCATGTTTACTCAAAGTACACTTAGTGAATGCGCGTCATTTAAAGAACAAAACTTTTAAGTTGCTATGAATCTGCAGAAATGTCGCCAGTCTGAGCGGTGACCAATCGTAAGACGTTCCAAAGCTCTCCCGACAAATACGTCGTAACGTTGTGTCCCTGCGGATGTAGGCTACCCTCGATAGATATAATGACATACGAATACGGGTTCGTGCTGTGCGTTTGCTTGCGTTGTGTTTACGCGTGGGTTGCAACTAAACACTTGCTCCATCTGTCAGTTGGGGAAATCTCAAACACCGACCTTTGCTTTCCGCACTCTTCCAGGCCCCTCACCAAATCCACTGCACTTGCACAGTTCGCGTACAAAGTGCGCGTAGCACAGATCGAACAACGGGGAAAACAAGCGACGCTACTGCGGTGTTCAAACATTCTGCGCTGAGAAATGCGCGGGTCGCGCGGGATTTTTCAACTCGATTCCTCCGACGCCGGTGGAATCCGATCCTCATGAAACACGCTCATTGCACACAACACCACGCAAGGGCGCACGGCATGCCCGTGTGCGATTTTGCACGCGAATAGATGTGAATTGGATTCACGCGGGCACATCACGCGAGTTCAGCAAACCGCCCTGCGTTGTTCTGTGGACCGAAGGCGCGGCAGCGGCAGCAGCAGAGGCAGCGGCAGCGGCAACTACGCGGCGCGAATGAACGCGGAGCATTCCAGCATTGCCGGATGGTAGAAAGCGTCTGCGGGCAATTTCGCGTGCGCATGCCGCGTGCTCCGTCACAGGCCGATACCTATTGACTCAGACGCTACCTCTCTGCTTCCTCTACCCTGCCGCTAGCCCCCCCCCCAACCCCACAGATACCTACAATTTACAGGTCATCTTCCCCCGGCATGATACGGTTCCATACGATGAAACAAGGATGTGTTGGTGAACAGAAAGGAAAATATATTCTTGGTTCTTTCTTACCGATTCCTATATTCTTGGTTCTTTCTTATTTCCCTTCTACGTGACTTTACCGAAAGATCCAAGAATATGAATCCCTGCAGTCACGAAAGCTTTACATAGAAAAGAAGATGTCTTTGGGGACCCTTTTTGGCAGTATCTGCAGAATAGGCTTTCCCTTTCTGGCAATAATAACAGGAGGTGTTAAGATGTCCAGACACCAAAAAGGCACACCTATTGCAAGGCATCGTGTCTGCATTAACCACACGTACTTGTGGCAAAGCATGCAAACAAAACATCCTCGGATTGCCTTTGAAACTGATTGGCCTACACCAGAGGCAACAGAGAGCTCTTGGGATGGGACTGCAGTCGTAAACCACAGAGCTGCAACATCGATCACTTGACTCAGACCACCACACATACACAGTGTACATTACCTTTTTTTCTACACTTAACAATTTTTCCCATCACACACTGCCGCGTTGCTTTCACCCCTTGCCCTTTCATCTGCGTTCATTGTTCCGCATACCATTTTTTTTCCGTTTCTTTATTAAATGCTCAAATTGTACATGTGTTATGGGTACCTCAGCCTTCGCTTATCTGAGCCAAAGCTACTGCCATGCCTGACGTTTTTTTTTTCTCACCATACTTTACCCAGCTGGTCAGTAAGGTTTAGCGAAGGTAGGATGAAGAGAGAGGGTCGCAGCGTCCACGTTGGAGCATTGCCGCAGCGTTGATGGTGCCGCTCTGCTCCCCTCTGAAACCGTAGCCTCGCCTCTTGTCACCCATGCTGTCAGCACTCGCCAGGCCGAACTCCCTGCTCTCAGATTCAGAGATCTGACATCGGGCGCGTTCCGCGTGATTTCGCGTACGCAATCGAAACGCACACACGAGCCTAAGTCGCTGAGCATTTCCGATTAGCACGGTTGGCTACGTACGGTGCGAAAGAAGTTCAACATACATCGGTTTAAGGCGCTGCTTAAAATCTCAAGGTCCGACATTCGTTTAAGGAAGCCTCCGGTATAATTGAAAGGCGGTGGTTTCCACGTTGAATGCTTCAGCTGTGGCCACGTTAGAACCGAATGTCTTGTACCTGTTGCATTCAATAGGCCAACCTCGCACCCTATTTAAGATGACGTCGGCAATGACATTTCATCACAATCTCTGGGGTTTCCACTTGTCCGTACTGCCTGACGAGTTGGTGTTTATTTGAGCAGCGGTAAGTTTGGAAAATCAATGACATTGCCCCCTTCAAGAATGCATCCCACTCTCGACCAGGATATATATTATACTGTACTTGCACTCGATGTGAATTGACTCGCTTGCCGCGCCATGCAAGGAATTTAGAGCAGGTCTATCCGATCAATTAAGGAATCGGTTATGCTACCGATTGTCGAGGCGATTACTCGGCCGGTCAGAAAACACGAAACACAATTGGCGATGTCTTCACGTCGCATTGTGCCGGGTATGGTTTGTTGTACATGACGGTTGATGAACTTCAACAAAAAAATTATTTGCCCACGGCGCTTAATAAATGAATCTATTTAATCATCCCAGCTACGGAAGACTTGTCGCGATTCAGTTCACGAATCCATTATTTCATGTTGTGAATGGTATGACGTGAACCCGTTACATAACAGCACAGATGAATGGAAAACCGATTCCTACGATTACGCATCTATCTTGTGTTTAATAATTGTGACGAGTCGATGAACCAATCGTTCAACCCCGAATTGACACATCCTTTTTGATACGTATAAATACACTTGGAACAGTCATGACAAATAGATGATTCGGTTTCTCTATTTGAATAGAGTGGAGTCATTCCTCCTGCTGAACTGGAAACCCATTGCACGATTGCTACCATTCCACGTCCGAGATCAGTAATGGGCCCGCTTGCATGCGGGGTCAACCCTCCTAACGGGGTCGAGGGTGGTGGCACAGCGGTATCGGTAAAGCTGCAACGCGTCACTTGAACCCGGCCACTGGGCGATGCGAACGCGACGTGGCAGGCTCGCTGCGGGGACGTGTGACGGTTCGCATTGAAGGCGGTCGCTGTCGCTGCTGCTGCCGCTGTGGTGCATTACCACCCCCCCCCCCCCCCCCGAGTCTGGCGTGCAATGTCCACTTGTTCAGCCGCAACTTCGAGCCGTGAAGCGCGCGAGCGTGCATCTCACGATGCGAATGTCGAGTCTCTGCGAAATGCTCGCAAACAAAAAAAACTGAGTGGTGTGCTCCGATGCCTCGTGCGGGACTCGTGAATTGTTCTTGATTTGTTTTATAATCATTGAACGTTTATTTATTGTTTACGTTTCCAGCCCCTTCCCCCCCCCTCTCCCTCTTCATATCTATATCCCCTATCCTGTAAGGCAAATATATTATTCATAGGATTACCTGTCCACGTTGTGAGTTGTCAGTCCTGAGTGTTGACGCTGTTAAGTTATACTTTTTTTTATTGAGTTTCAAATTTAAAAAAAAATCTGCTTCGGATTGACCCGTATCTTTTGGCTGTGACATTTTTAGTGGTGCGTTGAATTAATTCGTGAAAGCGGTAGATTATTTATGTGCGGTTCGCAGTTATAAATGCAACACAATCTTACAGGGGATGGATCTTATATTATAATTTTCTACCCCCCCCCCCCACCCCCCCCCAGTTTTCATTGAGCACATGTCATGACTAACCGGTTAAACACATTTCTTACAGCTGTGGTATAAATTGAAATGTCGACACCTTTTCGGGTCCCTATGGTGTTTTTTTTTGTTAATTAATCATGCTGCGGTACCACACCATTTGATGTTGATAACAAATATACTGGATGTTATTTGTAAGCCTTTGTGAACGCCCGCACTATATATCGGCCGTCGCGCTCTTATTTTAGCAATTTTATCCGCGGGTTCAGTTTAATTGCATTGGCTCATTTAATGCTGTGGTTCAGAATGTGTTGGCAAGGGTGTGAAATGCGATACGGCGCGTGTAAGATACAAAAACAAAGAAAACCAGAAGCTGTAGATCCAAAAGCAATAGTATATTTTAAAATACATACGCTAAATTGCTCGCGGTCGAATGATGGGGAAGGTCGAAAAACCTCATAGAGAGTTCCCGGTTCAGTGAATGTCTTCACCAGAGCCGTCCCGAGGGTAATGGCGAATCGGGGCGACTGCCCCGGGCCCCGCTCTTTGGGGGGGGGGGGGAGGCGTGCTTCGACGTCACGGCGTCAGATGATGTAATACTTCCGATGTAGTTTGCAGGCGTCAGGGAGCCCACAGTGGGATTTGCCCTGCCCCCCCACCCCCCTATGGACGGCCCTGGCCTTAATGATTAGCACATTTTGGAAAGCTGTATCTGCTTTTGGTGTATCATTTGCGTACGTACGGTGCATATACATGTGCTACTTCTATATGTCCGACTATAAAATCCCATCGCGCACACCGTGAGATGACTTTTACTGTGCCATTGCTTTCGACTGTTTCAGTGGCGTGCGTGCCCGTGTAATGTATTCCGTGGTGGTTGGTGTTTTAACTCCTGCCGCTTTGGTGGGGTAGGGTGTGTGTGTATGTGGCACGACGGCGTGGGGTTGGTCGTGTTGTGTGTGTACAATCGCATCTCCCCCAGAGCCGCGGTGGTCTTGGCAGTGCAGTCGATTCGCGTGGAGGTTTCGGTTGCGGATGGACGTTTGTATAGATGTGTGGTTGGCCACAGGGCACTGCATGTTAATGCCTAAAAGCTTAATATATATTACACTGTACTTGTACAAATCAATTGCGTCGCGTGTAAAATGTCACTGCTGCCATGCATCACAAGGGGAGTAATAAATTTGGCTCTTCCATCAAGTAAGCGTTAGTGCGTGCGCGCCTGTGTGTGAGCGTATGGCTCGCGAACATCACCTATCTCCAACAGTCGTTTCAGGATATTCGGTGAATCTTTATATGGCTGGGTCATGTAGCCCGCATGGCCAGCCATTGCTTGCCCAGTCCAAGCAGCTTCTGTTTGACCGGATAGAGGGGGGCTAAACGGCCACAACACGAGCTGGAGAAGAGATGGAGCTGATACGTTACGGGATGATGTACAGCTGAGTGAACTTGCCGAAAGCCACTTCCAGCGGTGTCAAGATGGCATCTGGAGGAGGCTCGCGAAGGATGCTGCTGGGCAGTTGGAGGGAGTGGCCGTCCAACAACAACGGAGGGCGGAGGAGCGACGCTTACAACAACGAGCGCAGCGCCGGGCGGATAGAATATAGCAAGTTGGCGCAGTAGGGGGCACATCTGCTGCATCTACCAGTCATCTCAGTCAAACCTTGGCACCTGAGTCTGTCCCGTAACCTGTCAGCGAGCCTTCAATACTTAATGTGGTGTCGGGGTGCATCCGGCCTGGCACGGGCGCCGTGTGTGTCTTTGTGCACTTGCCCCAATAGTCGGTTAAGGCTATATGGGGGATCTTTGTTTTGGGGAGCCGTGCCGTAGTTGTTTGCGCACTGCACTACGAACCCAGTTATCTTTACTTTAATTCCCAACCTTGCCCAAACATTATCTAGTGTTTTCTTAACAGGTCCTGAGTTGACCCAGCCGTCATTGAATAGCGTGGTGTGTAAATCATAACCGATGGTGGGACAAAGGTGGCTTGGGCGTGGGGCTAGCAACATGCCCCGTGTCAGACTTAATCGGTGCTGGCTACAATAACAGCAATGTTAGGATGTATGGGGAATCATGGTTGCTAGCAGTAATGCACCGGTTCACTGAACCATGATAAACAATTCTAGATTTGAAGCTTTCGTGACTGCAAGTATTCATATTCTTAGGTTTTTTTCGGTAATGTCACGTAGGTAAAAAAATTTAATTAATAAAATAAAAATAAAAATCACGACGTTTCGGAGGCAACACAAGCTTCCGTCTTCAGGTGGAACCGTCACAGCACGCTAAGAACGTGATATACAAATTCAGATACCTGGATTCTATTTCATGGCCATTGATATAATTCAACTAAACGCGTATCTCGCCCTGGTTTAAATCAGATATTTAGGGTGGAGTAATCCGATGAGCTTTGGAGCTCTTTTAGCCCAGCCTGGTTGCAACTCGCTCGGCCCCGTTAGAGACTCTCCCGTGGGAATCCCGGTCCGTGAAGGCTGGGCAAGCAGGCCTGACTCCAGCTCCTCTCGATTGATGCGGTGGGGGGGGGGAGGTCATTATCATAGCGATTCACCACCACGAAGTAGAGTGGGTGCAGGGCCCACCGCATGTCGCACCCCGCTCGCAAGTCGTCGTGTCACGGTGCAGCTGTCGTACGCACCTGGAAGTCGATTTAAAGCTTTCGTGACTGCAGGGATTCATCTTCTTGGTTCTTTCGGTGAAGTCACGTAGAATGGAAATCATAAAATAATAGAAATACAAATTTTCTTATGTTTTATTTTTACTAATTTATTATTTTCATTCTACGTGACTTTACCGAAAGAACCAAGAAGATGAAAGTCACGTAGAATGGAATAAATAAAATAATGAAAATAATTATTTTATTATGTTTTATTTATTATTATTTTATTATTTCCATTCTATGTGACTACCGAAAGAACCAAGAAGATGAGCACATGGATGTGTTGGTGAGAGTTCACCTCTGTGTGTGCCGTGGCACTGAGACCCACAACCCCCCCGCCGCCTCTGCACGCTGCATCACTCAAAGTCGCGCAGAAACAACATCCATTATGTGCCGAGGTATACGGTATACAAAGCCCTCGAACGGTCGTTTATTTTTTCATCACCCGCCCAGGTAAGACGATGCCCTGTAACCGGGAGGGGGGGGGGGGGGCAACGAGCGGACTTCAATTTGAGGAGCCGTCACCTGTGTGTAGTGTGCAGGCAACGCGGGTATTTGTTTTTCATTTACTCACATCTCTTTCAACACCTGTGCGTGAGGGGTTGTGTAACAGCAGGAGGCCGGCGCGCCGCGTCTCCTTCATGGTGTGGAACATTCAAGACGAGCCACACCGCTCACGTGCAGAGCGCGACTGTGGCCATGCGACCCAAACTGTGCAGCGTATCGTCAACCCACTCCTTCAGCGGTGGAATAGCAATACCACACGCGAACTCTCTCCCGTGCGGATGCCCTGTCGTCGTGGCGAGCATGCCTCGACATTGACATTTGGCTCCTGAATATATGGACTGCTGATGATGATGATGTTTCTGCTGCTGCCGTCATTCGTGAGAATGGAATACAGGAAGTGTGCTAATCATGCACGGGCAAAGTATCACTAATCACATACCTGCATTTCCCATATCCCCTCCCTTGGATGCTGCTAATCCTGCATAATGCACGGACACAAGTAGTACTAATCACATACCTGCATTTCCCATAAATATGCTAAATTCTTCTTGATATGCAAATTCTTTTGTCAAGGCGCCCCCTCTTTCCACCCCCTTCCAACCCAGCTTATATATATGCTCCAAGCACGTGTGCTGTTTCATTCAGACGCTGTCGCCTCGACAGACCTGGTTTCACCTGAGGACGGCTGCTTGCGTTGTGGCCGAAACGTCGTGAGAATTATTTTATTATGTTTTATTTTTATTATTTGTTTACTTCCCTTCTACGTGACTTTACCGAAAGAACCAAGAAGAAGTGTCCACTACCCTAGTTCAAAACCAGTACGGCCGGTTTGTTCATTCTTAATTGCTTACAGAATGTTTCCTCCCAGCAACAATTTTACAGGGACTCCTTTATTTGCGAACATTCAACTTACGAACTTTTAGACATACGAACAAATCTGTCCTCATGTCCAGTTGCCTGATCTGACCGTAAGTTCAACCGCCGAGCAATAGATAGTGGTGGTGGCATTTACATCTGCAGAACATGAAGAACCAGTGGCATCTACATCTGCAGAACATGAATAACCAGTGGCATCTACATCTGCAGCACATGAAGACACCAGTGGCATCTACATCTGCAGAACATGAAGAACCAGTGGCATCTACATCTGCAGAACATGAATAACCAGTGGCATCTACATCTGCAGCACATGAAGACACCAGTGGCATCTACATCTGCAGAACATGAAGAACCAGTGGCATCTACATCTGCAGAACATGAATAACCAGTGGCATCTACATCTGCAGCACATGAAGACACCAGTGGCATCTACATCTGCAGAACATGAAGAACCAGTGGCATCTACATCTGCAGAACATAAAGTACCAGTGGCATCAACATCTACGGGAGATTATACACCTTTTAAAGCCATCCCCGTGTTTAGTGTACATGCCGTACATGTTTAGAATCGACAGGAATAAACTTGGACTTACGAATGAATCGACTTACGAACAGACATGGAACCTAATTCGTTCGTAAGTAGAGGAGTATATATACCACAAGCCTTGTGCAGTTGACAACTTCAATCGTAACGTCTTATTGAGCTGTTTGGTAATGTAGCAGACTATAATTCTTGCGGTGAAAATTACGGCGCGGTTGTGGTTAAGGCACCTAACTATGAACCCTACAACCCTTGAGATGTGTTTTTGGCCGCAGATGCCACCAGTGGCGAGTGGTTTCTGAACCAAGTTGAGTGATATCAGAGCCAGGAGGCCATCCACTAATGACTTAACCCCTTTGAGTCGGTGATCTCAACGACATAAGTGGTCATACTTTTCAGTTATTTTTAACTGGTGGTTTGTAAACGGCTGAGAGTGTTTGTACATGATGGCCCCGGTGTCTTGTGACCACCATTTAATTATCTAAAACGTAATATTTTTAAAGTGAAGTTTATTTAAAATATAAGTGAATATGCAAAGGCAAATACATATATTCGTGGTCAATTAATTGGGGGTCACGAGACATCTGGAGTGCCCGGTACATGCAGTGCACAACTTTGCACTGTACGCTGTTAACCATATTCATGAGTTCGGCAGAACCACTTTTATCGGAATTTCGGGCACACGGGCAAGTCTTGAAAAGGCGTGAAATCGTGCTTGACATAAATTGGGACGATACTTTTTGTTTCTTAACAAATGAGAGCTCCGAGGGACCTCTCCCGTGCCATTCGTGGTAGTAAACCACTTCCTCGTCGCCGACCCCGCTCCGTTCGTCCTCCTGGCTTCGAGGTGCCGCGCCAGTCACTGGCCCTGCTGCTGCTGCTCAACAGGACCGTGTGTAGCCACCCTCCTCTCGATCTACACCCGGGGGGGTCGGGCAACGTGACCACCGCAGCCCGCTCTGTGCACGTGCTCAGCGACACACCGCGCGTCATTGTTGAATTGATTTTATTTTGCCAGAGGCCCGCTGAGATTGTCGGCGAGCGGCCCTTCATCAGTCTCGACGGTGGTCTCAGGTAGGCTCAGGTGGGGTCAGGTGGGGTCAGGTGGGCTCAGGTGGTCTCAGATGGACTCAGGTGGGCTCAGGTGGGGTCAGGTGGTCTCAGGTGGTCTCAGATGGACTCAGGTGGGCTCAGGTGGGGTCAGGTGGGGTCAGGTGGG